GAAGCCTGGAGCTTGGGTGGGCAGCGTGTGAGGAAGGGTGGGGGGTGTGGGGACCCCCACGCACTCCCCCCGATGACATGCAGCCCCCACTTCCAGCAGCAGGCATCAGTGGGCGACTCTAGCCAACACTGCACACGGGCAAGGAGCGCAGCCTGTCTGGCCTGCCCCTAGCGTGAGGTTACGTGCATACGTGTAGCTTCCACACTCACGCAGTGCTGGGCAAGCCCTGCAAAGGAGTTGGCTGCCTTCCTCCCCCTGTGCTGCACAGGTCCCAGGACTCTGGCAGAAGTGGATGGGAGCCTTGGCCCCTGCTTCCTCTTGGGGTCCCGAGACCTGCACAGCAGGGAGTTGTACACGCACGCAGGGAACCCCCGCGATAGAGGCAGTCTGCTCAGGGTGTGCTTCACACCCCCATGTTCCTCGCTGGCCAGAGCTGCATGCTGCCCAGCTCCAGCACCTGTTCCAGCCATGAGTGCCCTGAGCACCCCTGTCTGCTGCTGTTATTGGCAGTGGGGGCTGAGCACTATGGGGGTGGGGGTGTGAGCGGGGTCCCCATACCCCCCACCCTCCCTCACATCCCACAAACCTCGCCTACCCACACCCTGTCCCCACACTCCCCCCACATATACACACCCAGCATATCCTATTGCTCCCCAAGCAGCCATACCCTGCTACAAACACCTGGACACACCCCCACACAATATGTTAGAGTAAAACTTTATTTTGAGTTACTATGCAATCACTTTTATATACACTATGCAAACACAGTTCATGACAAATAATTTTTGTAATAAAATATGTTCTGATATAGGAGTGGGCAGTTGTTTCAGCTGGCGGGCCACTTAAGGAGGTTTTGAGGGCTGTATAAGTAGCCCAGCCCTTGACAGTTGACCAGCCCCCTGGTCACTGTCTTGGGACCAGAAGTAGTGCCCCCTAACGCCTGACCTTTGCCACGAGAAATCCCCCTCCCCCCTCTGGAAATGCTCCTTTTGGGAAGGGGGTTGCCATCTTGAAACCTCAAATTACACCCAGCCATACACTAAAAGTCAGACACCTACTATAATATATTTTAATTTTATTACAAACAATATTTTTGTCATCTGTGTTTTGCATGCTGTACGTAGAGGTGGTTGCATCATAACTCTAAAAAAAACCCAACTTAGTCTTGTATATTGGGCGTGTGGTGGAGGGGCCATGCATGCCCATGCACGCGCATGTGTATTTGTGTGTGGGGCAGGGGACGTGTGTATAGGTATAGGCTCTGTTGGAGGCATCTAACTTTTAGTGTATGATTTTTTTTTCTCAAAAGGAGTATTTCTGGGGGGCAAGGGGAGGGACTTTTAGTGGCAAAGGTTAGGGGTTAAGGGTGGGACTTTGGTCCCAAGATGATGACCAGGGGCCGCAGCTACTGTCAAGGGGAATGGCTACCCATGCAGCCCTCAACAGCACACCAAAACTCAAGCGGCTCTCCAGCCGAAAGAATTGCCTGCCGCTACATTAAGACCTGTGCTCTCAAGCTCACTCTACCATTCTCCAAAGTTTTCTTCTCCTTCTAAAATCCCTCTGCAGATCAGACACCCATTACTGTGATAAAAAGAAGTGGGTTAGGTGCAGGGACTAGTGAAAACCACTTTTCATTTCCAGAAGACCTCTAATACAGGGGCTTGTTCTGGCTTGTGCGCAGGGGTGAGGTACTTATCTTTTACTAGGTCAGTCTGCTTTTCTGATGCTTTCTTTCCCCTCCACTTCCCCCAGACGTTTTCCTTTGGGAGTAGTCAAATGCTTTCTGTAGCTCAACAAAGACCTTGGAGAGTATTTCTATATTGTGGGCTTTCACGTGCTGTAAAATATGTCTCTTCTTTTGTCCATATCCGTGACTCCCAGGAACCTTGTTTTCAACCCTGCAGTATTTCCCAGTTTGTGCACTCCTCTCCCCTCCTGGGATGCTGCTCCCATTGGATGGGATGATTGCCAGTTGCAATTACAATTTTTTATAAAAATCATCCTTTCCTATTCCCTGGTGATGCTGAATTACCCTCTCTCCTAGAAAAAAAAGTCTCATTGTCAGCCACCTGGCATGGATGCTTTTCATTGCCGTGAGTCCTTGCTTTAAACATGCACTGAGAATAAACTAATTTCCATGCCTATGCCTGGAATTACACTGATATGAGAAATGTTATCTGTCCCTATGTGTGTCCAATGTCTCTTCATTTTGGTACCCTGAAAACAGTAAAAGCTTTATCTTTCTGCTCTCTACTACATAACAGATCACTGCATCTGTACACCTGTCCCAGTGTAATTCTGTCAGTTTAATGCCCTTTATTTGCCAGGGGTATTTGGTGCTTTGTTTCTTAAACCATCCCTCCACACCTGGGTGACAAGGCCAATCATCTATTGAAGGTATCTCCCTTCAGTGCCTTCTCTTTCATTCTAAATGTGCGCCCTCCCTTGTCCATCAAGGCCCTAATCAAAACCTTGAGTTCACTGGATCCATTCCCCAAATCCTGGTTGGTTATTCTGCATCCTGTACCCAGTCACAAACAATCTTTAACCACTGTTCCAAACAGGATATGGAGGTCCCACACCTGACTTAATCTACCGCATCCAGCAAGGACAGGTGGAGCTCTGGGTCTGGGATGATGAGGACGGTGGGGAGATCTCAAGGTCAGAGGACCTCCTGCCATCAGGTGAGTTGTTGCTGTCCCCTCCACCCAACTCCCCTTTCAGAAATGCTCCATGCCCGGAGTGCCAGGGAGATTTGGAAACTGCAGATCTGCCCTGTGCTTCCATTCCAGTATTTGTGCTACGTTTGTGCTGATCTCAAATACAGTACAGTCTGCTCTAATTTGTCTAGGTGGGTGTTGTTCCCACTCCCAGGAATTCAGGGAGACAAGCAACTGTTCCCTTTTTTCCCCCCAATTACACTGCTATGGGGCAATCAGGTTTGCTGTCTTGATTTTTCAGCACACATCTGGTTTTCCTGATATACTGTGATCTTAAATTTGCATCTTCACTTAGCAGTGTAAGAGTTCATTCCCCAACCCAGAGTAGCCATACCTCTCTAGCATACTCTTCCAAGGCAAGATGGGATTAGTAAGTCCCCCATGAAAATCTGCATGGTATGCAGAGATTCTGTGTAGCCATTCCTGTTGAATGAGAGATGTTGAGGATCTTCCTGGCTTTTCCTGGTCAGGTTTAAGTGGAACCCAGGAAGTGTTTCTTTATGGTCTCAGGCTGCATTAAATGGCTTAATGGCATTAGTGGGATTCAGAAGCTTTCATGTAGTGGGGGGAAGTGAATCCCCCATAGTTTGTACCAGAAATACCCCCTTCCTGTTTCCTCTCTGGGGCCTTGAGAGTTTTGAAGCCTGAGACTCATCACAGTTCAGGTTCAGGTTCATGCCAAGGCCTTTTAGTCCCGGTATGGATCCATAGTTTCATAGTTGTTAGGGTTGGAAGGGTCCAACCCCCCTGCCCTGGGCAAGAAAGAGTGCTGGGGTCAGATGACCCCAGCCAGGTGTTTGTCCAATCTTCTTTTAAACACCTCCAAGGAAGGGGACAGCACCACCTCCCTTGGAAGCCTATTCCATATTTTAGCAACCCGCACTGTAAAGAATTTTTTCCTGATGTCTAATCTAGATTTGCTCTCTTCCAGTTTATGGCCATTGTTTCTAGTTACCCCAACAGGCGCACGGGTAAACATTGTATCCCCTATTTCTTGTTGTCCCCCCCGATGAGTTTGTAGGCGACCATGAGATCACCTCTCAGCCTCCTCTTGTGGAGGTTGAAGAGGTTCAGGTCTCCCAATCGGTCCACATAGGATTTTTTCTGTAGGCCTTTAACCAGATGAGTGGCCCTCCTCTGAACCCTCTCCAGGCCATCCACATCCCTTCTGAAGTGCGGTGCCCTCCATGCTTCATGTGACATGGAGGCCATCTGGGACCTGTCAGCAGAGGAGAGGAGAGGTGGACGGAACTGGGCATATTTAGTTTAGAGAAGAGAAGACTGAGAGGAGATTTAATAGCAGCCTTTAACTGCCTGAAGGGTGGTTTCAAAGAGGATGGAGATGGACTGTTCTCCGTGGAGGGAGATGACAGAACAAGGAGCAACAGTCTCACCTCAACTTTCCTTCCTGAAACTTGAGACTTGCTCTTTGTTCTGTCATCTGCCTCCACTGAGAACAGTCCATCTCCGTCATCTTTGAAGCTACCCTTCAGGCAATTAATATATCAAGTTCCCACAGCCTCTCCTCTCGAGTTATCTGACCCAGTCCCCTCACCCTTTTTGTCACCCTCCACTGGACTCATTCCAGATGTGGCCTCACCAGTGCTGAATAGAAGGGAATAATCATTTCCCTTGACCTGCTTGCACACTCCTACTAATGCAGCCCAGATAATGCCATTAGCTTTCTTGGCAACAAGGGCACACTATTGGCTCCTATTCAGCTTTTTGTCCGCTGTAACCCCTAGGTCCTTTTCTGCAGAGCTGCTGCCCAGCCAGTCAGCCCCCAGCCTGTACCAGTGCATGGGGTTGTTCTATCCTAAGTGCAGGACTTTGCTTTTGTCCTCGTTGAACCTCATGAGATTTCTTTTGGCCCCATCCTTCAGTTTGTCTAGGTCACTCTGAATCCTACTCCTACCCTGCAGCATATCTTCCTGAATAGGGAACATAAGCCTGGGACATGGGCCTGCCCCTCCCTCACCCCCATCACTTGGGGTTTTGGCAGGAAGACCTTGTTTTCTTGAAGACATAAAAGTGCCAAAGTGTAGGCCTGCTCTGAAGCCCATTCCTGCAGAAGGAATAGCAATGTTGCTAATTGCTCCTTATCAGCAGGGTAGGGACTAATCCGGAGTTTCTCTTCTCCATTCAGAAGGTGCCTGGCTGCTGAGAAGAGCTGAGGAGCATGCTGACAAGGAAGGGCCTGCAAACATGGATCCATCAAAGAATTTCCCATGCTGTTTGGGTGAGATGGACTCCCTGGGACCTGAGAAGGACCAATGGCACAAGAGTCAGGGGAGGCCCGAAAAGCAGGAGGAGTGTCTATCTGTGAACCAGATACCATCTCCTATTGGGTGTGAGAGTGGAGATAGGGCAGAACCCACAAACAGTCCTGGGCAGAGAAAAGAAGGTGTGGAGCTGAGCGAGCAGAAGAGCCACTGGAAAGAGACACTGCATCCAAGCCAAGGCAGTGGGGAGGGAGTCAGAGGGAAGAGCTTCACCTTCTCCAGCCTGACCTGGCAACTGTGCCTCGAAAGAGAGAAGCCACATCAGTGCTCTGTGTGTGGGAAGAGCTTCACCTTCTCCTTTGACCTGGCCAAGCATCAGTGCATCCGCACGGAGCAGAAGCCATACGGGTGCTTGGAGTGTGGGAAGAGCTTCACACGCTCCTCCAACCTGGCGCAGCACCAGTTACTCCACACTGGGGAGAAGCGACATCCATGCTTGGAGTGTGGGAAGAGCTTCACTCAGTGCTCCCACCTTGCCCGGTACCGGCTGATCCACGCTGGGGAGAAGCCACATAAGTGCCTTGAGTGTGGTAAGAGTTTCACCTTCTCCTCTGACCTGGCCCGGCACCAGCGGATCCACACAGGGGAGAAGCCATATCAGTGTTCAGAGTGTGGGAAGAGCTTCAACTGCTCCTCCAACTTTGCTCGGCACAAGCGCATCCACACAGGGGAAAAGCCACATAAGTGCCCTGAGTGTGGAAAGAGCTTCACCTGCGCCTCCCACCTGACCCAGCACCAGATCATCCACACAGGGGAGAAGCCACATCAGTGCCCTGAGTGTGGGAAGAGATTCGCCTTCTCCTCTGACCTAGCCCAGCACCAGATCATCCACACAGGGGAGAAGCCCTATCAGTGTTCAGAGTGTGGGAAGAGCTTCAATTGCTCCTCCATCCTGGCCCAGCACCAGCGCATCCACACAGGGGAGAAGCCACATTTGTGCTCTGCATGTGGGAAGAGCTTCACCTGCTCCTCTGACCTGGTCCAGCACCAGTGCATCCAAATGGGGGAGAAGCCACATCAGTGCCTTGATTGTGGGAAGAGCTTCACCTTCTCCTCTGATCTGGCCCGGCACCAGCGCATCCACACAGGGGAGAAGCCATATCGGTGCTCAGAGTGTGGGAAGAGCTTTACCCGCTCCTCCCACCTGGTCTGGCACCAGCGTATCCACACGGGGCAGAAGCCGCATCAGTGCCCTGAGTGTGGGAAGAGCTTCAACTTCTCCTCTGACCTGGCCCAGCACCGGCGCATCCACACAGGAGAGAAGCCGTATCAGTGCTCTGAGTGTGAGAAGAGCTTCAACTCCTCCTCGAACCTGGCCCGGCACCAGCGCATCCATACAGGGGAGAAGCCATATCTGTGTTCGGAGTGTGGGAAGAGCTTTACCTGCTCCTCCCACCTGACCCTGCACTGGCGCATCCACACAGGGGAGAAGCCACATCAGTGCTCAGAGTGTGGGAAGAGCTTCACCTGCTCCTCCCACCTGACCCAGCACCGACGCATTCACACAGGGGAGAAACCTTATCAGTGCTCACAGTGTGGGAAGAGCTTCACCTGCTCCTCCCACCTGACCCAGCACCGGCTCATCCATGCCCGGAAGCATCCATA